AAAGAAAAAAGAAACTGTAAATGTAAAAAAAAAGATAGTTTCCATAATCTGTAAAATTTTTGTCAATTATTACAGAAAAAAAGAAAAATTTGGTTTTTCTTTTTCTTCATCTTTACTCACACAATATGTGCGTTGAAGTTGGAGAAAAAAGTGGAGAAAAGGGCAAAGGAAGATGAAGGGTGAGGGGAGTAAGAAGAAGAAAAGGGCCTTTTTATCCCTAAAAAAAGATCAATTTTTTTTTACTATATCTTTTTTCTTTAATTTTTCTTTTTTTCCCAACTTTTTTTTCTTCTTTTTTTTGTTCGTTTTTGGTGTTGTTATCAAAAAAAATGGTTTCTGGGTTTCTGTTGGTAGCTTATAGCTGCAGCAGCAGCAATGGTTGCAACAGTTCAGTATTTGTTTTGACAATATTTTAGAGAGCTTTAACCAATTAATTGGATACTGTGTCTTCTGATATTAGAACAGATGTTTTGAATTTTATCCTTTTTTTCTTCCTACTTTTCTCATGTTATTTTAACTAAATAAAAGAAAAAAAATTGTTAAAGGTATTTGTTTTTCTGTATTTCTAATAGAATTTTTATCTCTTTTGCAAAAATTTGATGGCTTTCTTTTTTAACCTGTTAAATGTAACAAATTTTAACAAGAATATAAAAAAAATTATTTATTACAGCAAAAAAATGAAATAGGCAAATTTTTGTATCTGAATTAGTTGCTAATGTAGCGTGAAAGTACCGCTTTTATTTGCCTTTTCAAAAATCTTTGTATTTCTTTCTACATCTTTTTTCGCTTTTTTCACTTTTCTTTTTGTTGTTGTTGTTGTTGTTTTTGGCTGAAATTGCTTTTTTGTTCATCTTTAACACTAAACAAACAATTGTAATGCTTAAATTGAAAAAAACAAGAAAAAAAATCTTATTTTGCAACACTGACTGAAAAGGATTATACTGTTAGATAGTGTTGATGTTGTTGTTTCTGATACTGGTGGTGATGGTGGTGATAGTAGTGATAGTTATATAGGTGCTGGTTGTGCCGGAGATGGTGGTGGTGGTGGTGCTGGTGGTGGTGCTGGTGATATTATGAAGTTCTGTCTTATGGATATGTCTTTGTGTGTATTGTGATCTAAGTTAAGCATTATCTACTATTGTCTAAGTGTAAACTGTACTTGTCTAGTGAAAAGAATCTAATTTTGCTGGTCGATATACCCACAGATATGTGTTACGTTTACTACCATTGCAGCTGCTCTTTTCACCTTAGGGGTTACGGTAGCTTAAAAATTGACAAAATCTTAGGAACAGTGGTATATTTCGGTTAAGTACAGTGAACAGAAAAAATTTTTCTTCATTTATTGTTTCTTAAAACTAATCATCTCGTCAAAATATTGCTTACTCTGCTTTTAATTACTGTTGCTTACTGCTTTTTGTGCCTTTTTTTTTTCTTTGAATAATATTAAAATACGTTTTTTCCACATTTGAGGAAAATGGATTAATTGCTAAGAACTGATGCTACTTTTATCGGGTTGCTTTTAATGGTTTATCAACAAATTTTATGGTAGTTTAATGCAAAAATTTTTGTTTTTATTAGCTGCGACAGCAACAGTAAACATAATAAGCACTTAGATTATCGATGAGGCAAAAACGGTATTTATCATTGGAGTGACAACAACGTAGGCGAATAAAATCATTTAGTCAACGC